CCCCTTGAAGTTTCCAGTACCAGCACCAGCCTGGAAACCACCCTACCTCGTGCTGCTGGCCACCAAGACTGCCGTTCAGACAGCAGCAAAGAGATGAATATATCACGCCCACGTCAAGAAAGCGCCATCACCACTAGAATCCTGGGCTATCGTTCCAGGATCAGACCCCACCCAGTTAAAGCTAAGAAAAGCTTAGTCCAAGGCCGAGCGTGGTGGCTCAAGCCTGTAATCCCAGCACTTTGGGAGGCCGAGGCGGGTGGATCACGAGGTCAAGAGATCGAGACCATCCTGGTCAACAAGGTGAAACCTCGTCTCTACTAAAAATACAAAAATTAGCTGGGCATGATGGTGCATGCCTGTAGTCCCAGCTACTCGGGAGGCTGAGGCCGGAGAATTGCTTGAACCCAGGAGGCGGAGGTTGCAGTGAGCCGAGATCGCGCCATTGCACTCCAGCCTGGGGAACAACAGCAAAACTCTGTCTCAAAAAAAAAAAGAAAAGAAAAGCTTAGTCCATCTGTCTTTTCTTTTTTCCCTTTTCTTCCATTTAACTACCCCCCATCTTGTTATTAATGAGATTAGATCTGGCTCAGCTCAAGTTGTTGCTTTGATGTGTCTTTAGTTACGACTTGTGGAGATTTGCATAACCAAGGACAGCTTGCTGCTTCAGAAGAATGTCTCTGTCCCCCTTAGACTTCTCAGATTAGGAAGACATGAGTTCCTCTAAGGATACTAGTCATCCAAGGAATAACAGTAGCTACATTTGTAGTTGGTAGGAATCAGACTCTTGTCCTTCTGAAACAGAATCTCTATGTTCTGCTTAGTCTAATGTCACCTGGAACACTAAAGGTTTAGGATAGCCTGCTTCCACAGGTCTTCATCAGTCCTCAAAACTATATATCCACTCCATCAAAGGAATCACTCCTTCCAGCTGTCAATATAATCAGTGCTTACTGTTGTTATTGCAACATCTGAAAACTCTTCCCCTTCATTAAGCCATATTTATGGTATAGGAGCCGACATTTCAGGAAGGAATCCTAAAGGAATTTTTGAAATGCACCTTATTGCTCCTTCAACCTCTTTATGAATCACTCCTCCTAGACACAGTGACAAAACCAAATTCTCAATGGTAGACGTAGAGGACCTAAGGCAAACCACAGCCTTGAAACAGGATATAAGGATACAAATGCCTGGGTAGAATGGATTAAATATTCCGTTTGCGCCTTAAATAAATTCAACTGTTACGCTTGTGCGCACGACAGACCAGAGGCCCAGGTTGTCCCTTTTCACTTAGATGATCTAATCAAGCGGACATGGAGTGCATGATAGCTTTAAGATTCCACAGCTTGGAAAAACAAATTGTACCAACTTCTTTTGCTGGTATTTCCTGAGGTTCAGCACCCTGTGGGGCAGCCCCCGAGGGCCATGTCACCTCCAACTCCCAAGGCAAACTTCACCATGACAAGTGGAAAACTTAGTGTTCCTTGAAAACTTAACAGGATGAAGTCAGGCACTTTCGAGAGCTGGCTCATCAGTCAGCCCTTACTCATCCCGATCAGATGCATGGTGGGACTGTGGGGACCTTTACTGGACACTCTGTCAAATAACTAGAGTGGCACATGCGCTGTAGTCCAGTTGGGTATCCCTTTCACCCTGGCATTTCATCAACCAGAAAAAGAGAAATTACAACATCGGCAAGTTAAGAGAAGCTCCTTATAGGTCTTTTGATTCAGAGAATGTCTATTTAGATGCAACTGGAGTTCTTTGAGGAGTACCAGATAAATTTAAAGCTGGAGCTATCAGATAGCTGCAAGATTTAAGTCAATGTTGTTCTGGTAGGTAACAGTTAATAAAAAACTGTAGATTAAACTACATGTAGTACAACCAACAGCAGTTTGTTAACAATACTAAAGATGCTTTCAAAGGAATAGCTGAACAATTAGGATCCACTAGCCAAATGACCTAATAGAACAGCCCTAGATCTGATGCTAATTATACTTCTCCTTAGATGTTGTGTCATACCAAGCATCAAGGACTCGTGCAGAGGCTAGGAGACGCAACTCTAAAATATCCACAACCCCTCCTCCCCCTTATTCAGACAGATTAATTCTTTTAGAAGAACAGAACTAAGCCAAGACATGCTAAGGAAGTTTGAAGAGAAAAGCATAAAACTGTAAAAATTCAAGATGGGGGATTGTTATACTAAACCACAAGTTTCCCTTTTTTTTTTGCGACGGAGTTTCTCTCTTGTTACCCAGGCTGCAGTGCAATGGCGTGATCTGGACTCACCACAACCTCTGCCTCCTGGGTTCAGGCAATTCTCCTGCCTCAGCCTCCTGAGTAGCTGGGATTACAGGCACGCGCCACCACGCCCAGCTAATTTTTTGTATTTTTTAGAGACAGGGTTTCACCATGTTGACAAGGATGGTTTCGATCTCTTGACCTCGTGATCCACGTGATCCTCCCAAAGTGCTGGGATTACAGGCGTGAGCCACCCCGCCCGACCCCCAAGTTTCCCTTCAAAGAATCAGTATGTTCAGCTCTCTTATTCTTTAACTATAACCTTCTCCACATGTTCTCATCAGTAGTCCATATCTGTTCCCCTGGTCCTGGCTCCATCCTGACTCATACCTGTCACCTGCTCTGGTCACCTTCTTTGACCTAGGTCACCCCTGGCTACCTGCTCTAAGCTGCCTGTAACCATCCTTCCCGCCAAAACACCCACACTGCCACTCCAGCTCAGGCCCCTGCTCTCTTTAAAATAGCCAATTGGGATTAGTCTAGCTTGCGAAGTCTAACCCTAGCCAATAGAGGAACTACACAGCAGTAGGGACGACCCCATCAGGCACAACTACCACTTCCCCTCTTGTCCAAGCAAGCGGCCACCATTGCTCCATCCGTGAGCCACACCCTTCTACAGAAGTAAACTGCCTTGCTGAGAGGATTTATCTTTGAGTGCCATTTCTTTTGCGGCATCAATATTTTACTTCTAACACCTTAAGGTCTTTTAGACTGACTGACAGCGCCACACCCATGGCCAGCACATATACCTCTGGAGGGCCTTCCAGAATGAGGAAACCTGAAGTAGCTGGAAGATCATGAAAAATGGAAGAACAATCAACCCCTGCAGCACCTAACTAACCTGAGACATTCTTCTATTGTTTTTTATTGTGGCTTCAGTTGACAGGACCATTGGACTTTGAAACCTACCTTGATCAACCTCTTGACTTCAGATCCTGTGACCCCCTCCCAGCTTGCAAAAAAAAAACACCCTAAACTTTAACTTCTGTAACTTTCCACTGCCTACCGCAAACCTATGAAACCAACTCCCATCCCTCCCCGCCTCTGCTGACTTTTTGGACTCAACCCACCTGCACCCGGGTGAATAAACAGCCATGCTGCTCACACAAAGCCTGTTTTTTGGGGGGTGGAGGAGGGTCTCTTCATTCAGAGCGTGGGTTTTAACACTCCCCACAATTCAGCTTTTTTTTTTGTCTGAGTTGGAGTCTCACTCTGCCGCCCAGGCTGGAGTGCAGTGGCATGATCTTGGCTCACTGCAACTTCCACCTCCCAGGTTCATGCAATTCTGCCTCAGCCTCCTGAGTAGCTGGGACTACAGGCATGCACCACTACGCCCAGCTAATTTCTGTATTTTTAGTAGAGACAGGGTTTCACCATGTAGGCCACGCTGGTCTCGAACTTCTGACCTCATGATCCTCCCACCTTGGCCTCCCAAAGTGTTGGGATTACAGGCGTAAGCCACTGCACCCGGCCTTCAGCTTATTATTTTTTAAGGCAGGGTCTCACTCCATCACCCAGGGTGGAGTGCAGGGGCGCAATCATGGTCCCCTGTGGCCTCGACCTCCTGTGCTCAAACGATAATCCTCCCACGCCAGCCTCCCCAGTAGCTAGGACCACAGGCACGGGCCAACACGCACAGCTAATTTTAATTTTTTTTTTGTGCAGATAGGGTCCCCCTATCTTGCCCAGACTGGTGTGAATTCCTGGGCTCACACAAGCCTCCTCGGCCTCCTAAAGTGTGTGAGCCACTGTGCCCTAATCCCACAATTAAGCTTTTAGTTCAACCCCGTTATCTTTTTAGGAGTCAAGCAGTCTGAGGACACGAAAAGACAAGACATTAACTTACTCAACGAATACATATTGAGACTGTACTGCGTGCCATAACTTCTGCTAGGACCCCACACAATGACAGGCGGGATCTGCCCAGACTTAAGGCTTCACCCTCTGTGTGGGCGGCGGTGGGGAGGGTCCAGTGGAGAACCAGCCTGGCAGGCTGGGTCCCTGAGACCAGATTTGAATGTTACCACTGCTACGGTTTTTGGTCTGTTGTTTCAAAAGCCTTTAACAACCAACCTAGGATTCCTAGGCCCATCACAGATTCTCCTCTGACAGGTCCCTACTGGTCATTGGGGCGTGGGAGATACTAACATTAGCCCTTCATTGGGTCCCACGGGCCAGTAGGAGCCTCCTCCTTTATCACGTGCTATGATCTGTTTACAATTAACATTCCCCAGTAGACTGAGCTCTCTGATTCTAGTACCTGCACCCAGCGCAGGCCAGGCATTCGGTGGGCACCCAGCTCATGCTTGGCGAATGAAACCTTGTGCCTCTCCCCTGAGAGCATTCCCTGAAGGCGCGCTCGGAAAAAGCCCGCTGCAACTGGCCTGGCCCTTCCCTCCCCGTCGAGTCCGTATTATCCGTCAATCTTCCTGCGTCCGTCTGCCGGCCAAGGCAGGGCTGTAGTTTTCGATTTGAGGATTACAAGCTCCCAGGAAGGGCTGCTCTCGGTCGCGCCCTAAAGCTGCAAAAGACTGGTACCCCTGGGCTCCCGGCTGACGCGATCCAGAGAGGGCGAAAGCGGTCCAAGGCGAAAAACAGCGGAGAAAGGCGCCGCCGCCGTTAAAAGGGGTTGGTCCTGTACCTAACTTGGGGGCCCCACCCTGAGGTGCAAGGTCTGGAGGCCGCAGCGCTGCAGCACCCACCTCTGCCAGGGCCTTTTCGGCCGCCCTGCTCCGCTGCCCCGGACACAACCAGCGCCGCCATTACCTTCCTGCCCATGTGATACTAAAAAGACAGCGCTGGAAGAACGCGGATAGCACAGACCGTGCGATCGATCGCCGATCGGGCGGGGGCGGGGATACTCGCTGGGCGGGGCCGTAAAGGAGGAGATAGGGGTGGGGCTACAGTGGGCCCCGCCTCCGCCCAGAATGTCCGCCCTCTGGCTTTCCTCGTGGTCCCGGACCAGGGCAGTTACCCTCCCCCTGCGACCCAGTCCCCAACTCCACTCCCCGGCTGGGCAGGAGCCTGACGCTCCAAGAGCAGTGCTCTCCTATTTGCGAACTCCGAGCACGAGTTCTGAAGATCGAGTCTTGTGAATGGGGACACTCACCAGGTCTTCCTTCAGCCCCCCTGCCAGTCTCCCCGTAAGCACTGGTCTGTCAGCCCGCCGCCATGAGGGGCACGTTCGCTACCTAGGGCGGCCCCACTGTACGGCAGGACAGAGCTCGGGGACCACCAGCCCAGCTCCAAGTCTAGTCTTGTAGGTTTCCGGATCGCCCTTCTCACCTTTATTTTTTTTTTATTTTTTTTGAGACAGGGTCTCGGTCTCTCGCCTAGGCTGGAGTGCAGTGGTGCGATCATGGTTCACAGCAGTCTCAACCACCTGGGCTCAAGCGATCTTCCTGCCTCAGCCTCCTGAGTACCTGGGACCACAGGCGTGTGCCACCATGTGCAGCTAATTTTTTTTTTTTTTTTTTTGGTAGAGATAAGCTCCTAGTATGTTGCCCAGGCTGGTTTTGAACCTCTGGACTCAAGCAATCCTCCCAAAGTGCTGGGATTACAGGCATGAGCCACCGAACCCAGCCCTTATCACCTTTAGAACCCAAAGTGTAGATGCTGTAGAAGGTTGCCATGGGAGAAACTGCCTCTCTGGGGAAGGCCCACAGCCTGAGGGTGCTCTCCTGGGAGGCTGGGCAGTCGAGGACTGTGATGTCTAACCTTCTGGACCCTGGCTAACCTTTGCCCTGTCCCCTCAGGGCTACATAGTCTTTCTCTTGATCACTGGCCAGAGCCCCACAGACCCCAAAGAGAAGACAGCCAGTGAGGCAGCTTTGACCTTTGGAAGAGCAAGTACCTGCAGGACTGGCCCTGAGCGAAGTCCGGCCACTGGAACAATGGTGCCCCAGGGCTGAATATCCACCCAGCCCCCTGGTATCCTCCTCCTCTCTCTGCCCCAGTGCTGTGAGCACAGCTGGCCCTTTAAGTCAGCTCTGTGGCCTCGGGCTCCCCCAGAGGCCCTCCCTGCTTAGAAACCCCTAATTAAGGTGCAGGGAGAAGTGAAAACAAGCAGCCAGAGACAGGCCCTGCCTGGGAGGCTGCCCAGGGAGCAGGAATGGCTGGGAAGGCTGGGAGTGAGCAGCTGAGGGCAGTGCCCTGCCCTTCAGGCCACCCGCTTTTAGGACAGTTAACTTTAGACAGAAATGTGGCCAGTGTGGGTCCCAGGAACACTCCCCTCAACTCAGTAAGTGTCCAGATGGGACCTTCCCATCTCTCCCCAGCTTCTCTGTATTCCTAGGGTGCAAGATCTGAATTCCGGGAGCTCAGCCCCTCCTCTCTCAGGACACCAATGCCCAGCCTGTGGACAGCCTTAGCTCTGCCTGGAACACTGAGTTTCCAGGGGAAAAGACTGGCTCCAGCTGAGCGACAGCTTCTCCCTAGCAGGCGCCACATCCCTCAGGACCTTCCCTCATCGGAGGTGGGGCCTGTTGATGGCAAAGTTCCCATCCTCTTGTAAATTGCCCTGATCCATTGTGCCTCGTGAGCTGCCCTGGCTCCCGTTAGGAAACCAGATGATGACGAGAACTGACATGAAGAACAGAAGTGAGAATGCGCCCCAGGACCCCGCAGAGCAGGACACTGGGGGCTGCCATTCCGCTTGAGCCGAGGACACCTCCATCTGTCTGTGGGGGTCTCCCTGCCTGAGTTACTCAGCAGTCTGAGTAATTACTGCCTGACAAGAAGGCGGGCACAGTGCACCCCCACATTACACCACAGCACCCGCCTTTAGTCGCCCCCACCCCCTGGCTGGACTCCAAGGCAGTACCCAGCCCTCCTGAGGCCTGAAATAACTCTGCTTCTCACACTCACGCCCAGCTCCAGCCAACTTTTCCTAAGATGCTAGAGTTTGTGGGCTAGGGGGTCATGGGGAGGCGGCTTGGGGAGGTGGAAGGAGGATTATCCCACATTCGGGCCCTGAGTCAGGCCCATACTTTATCACATATCTGTTATGTGACATTGAGCAAGTCTCTGGGCCTCAGTGTACTGACAAGACCTCAGGTCTCAGTTTCAGGGCTCAGGCAGGGGGTGGGGGCAGCACTGCCTTGCAGCTGGTGGCTAAGAGAAGGAATGCCTCATCTTCTGTTCCTACCCCAAGAGGGACCAATCTTTTTTTTTTTTTTTTAACTGCTCCTTGTGGCCATGGGCAGTGTGCCCAGAGTAGCAGCCATCAGTCTTTTTTTATCTTTAAACTTTTTTTTTTTTTTTTAAATAGACATGGAGTCTCACTATGTAGCTCAGGCTGGTCTTGAACTCCTGTCCTCAATCAGTCCTCCCACCTTGGCCTCCCAAAGTGCTGAGATTATAGGTGTGAGCCGATGGTCCTCAGGAAGGATCAATCTTATTCATCTTCAGAACAGGGTTACTTCTCACCTTTAGGCGTCTGCTGGAATGCCCTTCCCTCTTCTCAGTGTGCTGAACTCAGCCCTCAAGACCTAACTCCAAGGTCACCTCTTCTGTGACTGTTTCCTGATTATCCTGTAGCCCCTGGCAGAGCTAGCAGAGCCTTTTCTCAGTCTGACTTCTGTCACATTCTAAGATGGTTTGTGGGTTTTTCTTCTCCCGTGACACCTGAAGCTTCTGGAAGTCTAAGCCCAGAGCCTTAGTTCAAATCTGAAGCTTCAGTGCCACCAGATGCATGTATGTCAGACTGGCGTTTTTTGTTTGTTTAGTTTTGTTTTGAGACAGAGTCTTGCTCTGTCACCCCGGCTGGAGTACAATGGCACAATCTTGGCTCACTGCAACCTCCACCTCCCAGGTTTAAGTGATTCTCCTGCCTCAGCCTCCCAAGTAGCTGGGACTCCAGGGGCGCGCCACCATGCCCAGCTAATTTTTGCATTTTTAGTAGAGACCGGGTTTCACCATGCTGGCCAAGCTGGTCTCAAACTCCTGACCTTGTGATCCACCTTGCTCCGCCTCCCAAAGTGCTACGATTACAGGCGTGAGTCACCGCGCCCGGCCCTAACCTTTTTGACCTTCCTATCATGTCACCTTTTCCTCTAAGGAGGGCTTCAGCTGGATTTCTGCTTGTATGTCACCTGTTCTGAGCAGCTTTCCTTGACCGGCACCCCCACCCCTGTGTCAGCTCCAGAACAGCACTGGGCTTTTCTTCTAAACACAATCTTCCCATCTTCTCTGGACTTTCCCCATTTGGCCCCTATTAAAATGTAAACTCATTGAGGACAGGGCAAAGCCAAGTCTCTTCTGTCTGTGTCCCACACGTACCTGCTGAGCCTTCGGTGAATGTGTGTGGAGTGAGTGACTTGGTCCAGCCAGCCCCTCTATTTCTTCCCTCCGAATCCCTCTGATCCCAGGCCAGTAGGGGGTGCCGCCTCCACCCAGGAGCTCGCCTGGCCCCAGCCTTCTCTTTCCTCAGCCCAACAGGCCCCTGCGGGACCCTCTTTCGAAGCAGCCCCTCCTCCATTTTCCGCGAACCCCCTGGCGGGGTCTGTGTGGACCAAAGGAGATCAGAGACCCCCACCCACCCACCCATGCGGAGACAGACCACCCGAACCCGCGCGGGTCCTTCCTTCTCCCTGGAATTTGCAGCGGGCCCCTCTGGAATTCTTGCTCCCCTCCGCTCCCTACAAAAAAACAGTGTCCTGGGTCTCGGGGTGCGGGGCGGTCCGGTTTGCTGGCGCGGTTCTGTGCGGGGAGGAGCCGTCGAGACTGGGAGAAGGGGCGCTGGCCCGGGAGGAGGCGCGACCGGGAGGGGACTCGCGATCCGGAATCCGGGCGGCCGTCCTCGCGTCCCAGCCGCCTCTCCCGATGACCTCCAGCCGCGAAGGGCGGGCGGGCGGGGGCTGGGCTGCGGGTTCGGGCTCCAGGAGGCCCGCGAGGCCGGCAAAGGTTTCGGGGACTGGGGCAGGTGCCTGGACAGACGGGGACCGAGGACCTTCCCCGGGGGCGGGCGCAGTGAAAACACCTTGGGAGGCGGCGCCGCGCGGCTGAGCTCCGCTGCCCTGGGAATAGGACGGCGCTCAGCACTGCGAGCTGAGAGCACTTTCATAAATTTTGTATGGGAGGCGCTCCGTGAGCGGGGGCGGGGAGCGGAGCGAAAGGGAGGGAGCTAGCAAGCAAGGGAGGGAGGGAGGAGGAGAGGAGGGGGAAGCCGGGGGGAGGAAGGGAGGCGCCCCGCTCCGCCGATCGCTCGGTCCTGCAAACGCGCGCCGGGCGCTTTCCCTGGAGCTCGGCGGTGCGTGCGAGCGCCCTTTTGCAGCAGCCGCGGCGGCGGTGGTCCGAGGGGGCGGAGAGGAGGGGGCTGCGGCCGGCCGGTCAGGGGGCGGCGGCCCCCTCAAAACCGTCTGCAAAGTGCTCCGGGCGGCAGAAGCAGGCCGCCGGCTCCGCGGAGCCAGCAGCTCGCCCCGGGGCTGAGCGAGCGCGCGGGGCTGCCGGGCAGCGCCACGGTTGCTTGCGGGCGCGGGTGCCCTGGGCGCGGAGCTGGAGCTCACCATGCCCCTGCGGGGCCGGGCCACCGGGCACCAGCGGATCCCCGGCTTGCCCCCGCCTCGACGCGCTCGGATTAGCTGCAGCTGGCGCCTAGGGATTTGAATCTGGACCCAGGGAGGGAGTGCGCCTAGGCCGACCTCGGAACGGCGGCCCCCCGGCCAACATGCTTCGAAAAGGTGAGTTGGAGCCGAGCCGCAGGGGCAACTTGAAGTTGAATGCGCTCGGGAGGGAGCCGCGAGCCCCGGAGCCGCCCGGCGCCGGGGCTCCCGGTCCGGGAAGTAGCCCTCGGCGGGCTGGTGGGTTTTG